GAGTTGGGGTGACTTTTGCAAGCTTTTTTGATGGTTGTTGTGATCATCCTCAAACTCATTGAAAATGCGAGTGTTTGTTTTGAAAACATGACTTTGAGTGACAGCTCAAGGCATCAAAGTGGCTTTCAAAGTCATTTGAGATAAATAAATTTTTTTCGACTTGAAGTTTAGGAATTCTCTCTTATATTTCGACTATTTTCGTTTCATAGTTAAGTGCTGTAATTTTTGGAACAGGTTCTGTGTGAGTTGGGGTGACTTTTGCAAGCTTTTTTGATGGTTGTTGTCCCTCATCCTCAAACTCATTGAAAATGCGAGTGTTTGTTTTCAAAACATGACTTTGACTGACAGCTCAAGGCAACAAACTGGCTTTCAAAGTCATTTGAAACTCAAGGTAATGTACAAGTAGCACTTGGAAATTGTTGTACTTCCATAGCATCTTTTATTGCTGTCTGTCCTCAGGTAATGGAGATGTAAATTGGTGAATTGAAAATCATAAAAAATGTTACAAGAGGGATTTTTGATGAAATGGTCAAATCTGTATCAACTTTATGGAATATCAAATCTTCAAAATAACATCAAAAATCCTACAATTGAAATCCCCCTGATCTACTATTAAATAGAGAAAATACGAGGTACTGATGTTTTACATAGTATCTGTAATAAGGATAAAACAAATCGTAAATCCCAATGTTTCGCGACTTTAATACAGTATATAATATATCCATTGTCCATTAGTCAACTGTGTTGCACAAAGTTATTTTGCCTTTCTCTGCATAAACTTCATAATTGCCTGCATGCATTCCTCAGAAAGCCACCGTTGTTCCAGCAAAATGCATTCCCTTTCATTTACTTCATGAAGAGTTGCTTTGTTGGCTTCTCTGATAAGCTGCTTTGAAAGCTGTAGACTCTACAAGTTAAAAATATTATAGTTGAGAAATTATGTTRCTCCCAGTATTGAATTTCCATTGTGTTTGTTCTTTGAGTGAAACCAGCACTCCTAGATTTTGTAGCTTAGCTTTCCTATTATTTAGTATTTGAACAATAACATATTTGAATTATTTTGCTAATACCTTTGGAGGAAGCTGTGCCATGGCTGTAATTCTACTTTCAACTTCCCTTTGAAAGTCACCATGAAGGAAAACTTCAGATACTAACTTGGATTCCAGTGCTTCTGCAGCAGTCAGCTTGCGACTTGCCAGTAGAACTTGGCAGGCCTATGAGAAAAAACATTGAACATTTGATAAGTTATGCTGTTTACTAACACAACAAAACTACTTCCCAACAATTGTCAAAAACAACTGACAGAAATMAWTTTGTTKGACAACAATTGCTACTTTTTAGAAACAAATTACCATTTTTTCAGACTTAATATAATAGACTTTATTTAAAAAAATAATAATAATAATAGACTTTATTATTCAAAATATAAAATATGCCTTACATTAGATACAAATGTACTCTATACTTACAAGTGCTGGACCCATGATTGCTGGAAAAGTATAGGATGAACACCCTTCAGGACTTTGACCAAGCTCTATGAATGGTGTATGGAAAGTTGCTCTATCTGAAGCAAACACAACATCAAACAGTCCAAGTACRGTTACAGATATGCCYACAGCTGGACCATTGATTGCAGCAACCAGAGGCTTAGGATAGTCTATAAACGCAGACACAAATCTCCTACAAGACAAAAAACATACACATGCATTGAGAAAATGTTACACTACATGTAGCTAAAGTACAGCGCAGTGACAGAGGGTAAATGCCGTTAGTTTTTGCTCAGTCATAAAAAGTCAGATCTGTGCAGTTTTAAACAAAATAATCAAGGAGGTTCCTGCTCAGTCTGTGATCAACCAAGTGCTGCAGAATACTGTAAAAACAAGGTACAGGTAATTAAGGTATTTGAATAGTCTCCTTTATTAGTTCCCTGCACCATCTTAAAAGTTAACTATGTCTTTGTATCGAAGCAAGAGGAACGTTAAGTGTGCAATGATAGAAACCATCTTTTACATGTATTACCTACTACACAATCTTTGCATGCTCAACACAGTTTTCTCTTTTCAATGGAGAATTCTTAAAAAGAGTATTTGGATAAACTAGTGATCAACTATATTTGGATTTTAGGAGAATAATAGTCCTTGTCCAATGGCCATACTCTTTCTGGGAGTTGAGTAACCACAGTTAAGACACAGCTGTTTATCATACCTTAGTACATTGCGGCCATCTCTTGCCATTTTTTCTGGGCCTTCAGGAGGAATCTGAGCAAAGTTACCAAGATCGTTGCCACTACAATAATAGTCACCAGCTCCAGTGATTAAAGTTACCACACATGATTTATCTTGAGCTCCCTCTTCTAAAGCACTTATCCATTCCTCATACATCTACATAACAATATTATTTTATGTCAGGTAAAGGGAATTAAGCCACTAGAGATCTTGGAAGTAGCATTGGCAAAATAGAGGCAAGGTTAGTGAAGACTTAATAATAAAGACATAAATAGTTTCCTTTCAAATTCCCTGAAAAAGTAGAAAACTGGTGAGCATGCATGTTAGAAAAGATACCTTCTTTCTCATCTACACTCACATTGGCTACCTTTCAAGATGGTGTAAGGAAAAAAATTGTGAAAGATGCTATTTCTGTGACCTTACCTCCCACGTGATTGCATTGTATTTCTTTGGTCTGTTCAACTTTATTGTCTGCACGCCATCCTTTACTGTTACCTCTAGTGACTTGTACTTCTTCCCTGAATCACTTTCCTCAGTTGCACTAGAAGCTGCATCATCTTCTGTAGTTCCAATTTTTGCTGTATGATGTAAGAACACAAGGACATTTTACTTAAAGGTCAACATAGACAGCACAACTTTTGCATGCATCATGTCCAAGTCATCCCTACAACATGGCTACTAACAACTATTACTCTGAAGTTCCGAATAATCATATAGAGCATAATAATAGTATAGAGTGGAAAAATACAAATTTACCATTAATAGTATAGATCGGAATAATAGTATAGGGTGGAAAAAACGGCAGTACTGGCAGTTTTCCCGCATTTTTTTGGCAAAACCGCTGACTTCTCCCCAGTTTCCCCTGTGATCAAATCCGCTGACCAGATGATTTGTGCTCTTAGTTTGCTGTTCGTTCGCGGTTTTGTTTTCGTTTTAGAGACAAAAAGTCTGTCTTTTTGGCAACTTTTTTCAATTTTTTTTTTCACGATATTGTTAATAACTAATTAAGGTAGGCACAGAGAAAAAAATTGTGAAAATTAATAATCGTACAGTCCCAAATAAGGCCGTATAGAGTGGAATATTTTGCCAAAATAAATAAGCGTATATATACGATTATTCGGAACTTCAGAGTATAGGACTATCAAACAGTATTATTTTGAATCTCTACAACAGTTGTAATCATGTAGTAAAATGCTCAGGTTGCTTGCAATGGTTGTAAGTAAACGTTGTGCCATCTTTAAATATTCTGCCTAAACACTGACTAGCAGAGATGTCGGAGAACCATAATAATGGCTACTAATGTGTGTTTTGCACAGTAAAATAACATCTACAGCTAGTTGTGTTGTAATAATTTATATCAATATTAATGAATATAGTAATAATAATCATCATCATCATCATCATTATTATTACTCGCTGTAACTCTGTTGATATTTAAAGGATTACAGATTATTATT